ACCCCCCCCCCAGATACAAATGGTTAAATAAAAGACTCAATAGATAAATTAATTTTCCATCAACTGTACCAATAATATTAATAATAAAACAAATATTGGCATTATTATAATTATTTTAAGTGTATTTTTCTTTTATTGTCCCCTTTATTTAACATTATGTAATCAATGTATGTATTTATTTGTTTTGGAAGGTTCCGTCCTCCATAGCCAAGAACTATTTTGTCAAAAGACTGATTAACAAATCTTGGTACTCGGGTGCCCCAAGACATCAAAACGAACGAACCCAGCGGTTCACCAGGGGACTTCCGGAGCCACGACGACAGAGTGGAGTGACAGTTGATTTATCCAAAAGGACAGCTCACTTAGTTGTGACGTTTCTTTTTCTGACGACGGGCGGGATATCCGCAGTAGTAAACTAGCTAATAACATGGCGAAGACTTACGATTACTTGTTTAAACTACTTTTAATCGGCGATTCAGGCGTCGGAAAGACCTGTGTACTATTCAGATTTTCAGAAGATGCCTTCAACTCTACGTTTATCTCTACTATAGGTGAGTAAAAGTGGTTTTATTAAGACTGTCTTTTCTGAAAAAGTACAGGAGCAGCCCATCCCGTCATGCTAATTTCTTGCTAACTTTTTAGCATTCCTTGTAGAGGCTAGTCAGGAAGCCAGCTTGTTGGAGGGGCTTTTCAGGGAACGACAACTGTATTTCAACCAGTTTATATACCTACAAATCCCGTGTATGTATCAGCAGTAAGGCTGTTAACCTAATGAAAGCTATTACAGTGTTTTAAACTTACTATTTTAAGCTAAACTACCTAGCTACAAAGCTGTCAGTGAGCTAGCTAGCAGTGTCACTTTTCATCAAAACCCCAGGAAGTGCGCCGGCCGTTGATGCACATTTTTTAAAGAATGGCCAAATGGGGGTACTACAACTCCCGTGTGGTCTTTTGACCCAAAGATACTTTCCCAGTTTCCCCCATGGACTTACATTGGGAAATAGATTTATGTAAATCGGCGTATAATAAATAATATAATCATTAGGGTCTTAAAGTTGGAAAATGAGCTAAAGCCGAAGGCGGTACTTAAGAAAAACTCAAGTACGCATGCTCGGTGGGCAAAAGGCCCCGGATGAGTCGCTTCATTTTGAGCTTCAAGCGCCACTGAGCAACTCTCATAGGAATGAACGGGGCTTTATTGTGATCATACAGAGGATGAAGGACATTTCGTTGGCATCTCTCAATGCATTAATAGAAATAGAAACAAATAAATAAAAGCAGAGGTAGTAGCAATGACAATCCAAAGAAAGCACTAAGATAAAATAATGTCAGTGAACATATTAACCAATTTTACAGACTATAACATTTCAATATAAAAAGCTAGAACAGTTTAAACATAATTATGGTTACAGTCTTTGAGGGCTGGAGATGTGTTTCATGTTAAGTCAAAGTTGTTGTAATGTGTTCTGTGGTTGGACAGGGATGGGAGTAATTCCTAAAATGTAATTATATGTATTTTGTTTTTTCCTTTAGGTATTGATTTCAAGATCAGAACAATAGAATTAGATGGCAAGAAGATCAAGCTACAGATATGGTAAGATATCACCATCCACTTTCATTTTACAGTTTGACTTGTATGTGATGATTAAGGGTGGATTGTAATTACACTAAGACTTACAATTTATTAGGTACATCTCATGAGAAGATTAACATCTGCATTACGGATGCTTCCAATACAACAGTAGCTTGTAATATATTCACTCTTTACAAAACTGGAATCTTGTAAAACGTTTAACCTAGTGTTGTCAACTCTCAAGTTTCTCAAGCGAACATACAGTATACACTCTATGTATTTGTGTCTTTAAAGTTGTAATAAGTAAAAGAAAATAGGTTTAAAGGTAGTAGTATTGAATCTATATCATGACTAACAGCAGCTGTGCATGAATACAACGGCACACAACACTTAAAATAAGACAGTGATGGAGTTGATTATGTATTTTATTAAGAACTTTTCACAGAGTTAGGCTATTACCCCTTTGTTTTCTCAATGAACAGATGAAATATAGCTAAGTTTTGCAGACTAAGTGTTGTTTTTGATATGTAGGGATACAGCAGGACAAGAGCGGTTCAGGACCATCACGACAGCCTACTACAGAGGAGCCATGGTAAGTTGCTTTGTCTTTTAATAAATCGTCCCTTAGGGTTTTATTTTTGGGATCAGAATAGGTGAAGTGTCAGTAATCTCAGGTGTCAGCTCTGTACCAACAACCTCTACCCGAACTACACCCAGCATTGTTGGTATTGTTGTTAATGTTGTACACACCTGGGTAATCTGAGGTGCGCTCAGTGTATTGTTTTATGCTATTTTTCCTAGCCTCTCCTTTAGTTCAAGTTTAACTGGTTGCCTGTGATTCCATACTTCACTTAAAGGTCCCATGACATGGCCATTTCTACTGATCATGATTCCATTGTTGAGGTCTACTAGAATAGATTTACATTGTTCAATGTTCCAAACTCACGTTGGTTTCTCATACAGCATCTCTGTAAAGTATGTGTATTCACTCTCTGTCCTAAACGCCTTGTTGGAGCTCCTGGGGTTAAATATAATTGAAAAATAGTTTTGCAAATTGTGTTGTCTTTATTGAAGTATGTAGAAGCTGTGGTTGTTAACTAAATTAAACCAAATACGTTTTGTATTGTCGGCTCTACTTAATACTATAATTTCTTTATCGAAATGAATGCATGATAATATATATATTTCCCATTATTGACCCCAGATATATCATCCATCCCTAGTGTTGAAGTATGTGATCCTTCACTAATGAGGGTTAAATGAACAACGGATAATCACATTAGACAATACATTTCCAAGTGGACTAATGACAATAATTGATCAAGGAAATCATTGGTCAAGGCTTCTCAATTGTGTCTTGTCTTTTCCATATTTCACTTAAGTAAACAGTATTGCCTTTGGTTCTAAATAGGGTCAAATTATTTTTTTTAATTGTTTTGCAAGTTGTAAATGTGATGTCTTTATTGAAGTATGTACATGCTGTGGTCGTTAAGTAAATTAAACCAAATACGTTGTGTATTATCGGCTCTACTTATCGTTAATAATTTCATTTTCGAAATGTACTGTACGATACCAGTCACCTCTGAGGAAACATTAGTATAACTGCCTTTTTAAATTTATATTTGAATGTTGTATGTCTTCTAAAAATGTACCTTGAGTCTCTTCAATAAAGCTGATGATGATTATGAATGCATGATAATATATTTGTACCATTATTGACCCTATATATACCATGCATCCCTAGTGTTGAAGTACCATGCTTTACTTGGCCCTCGACAGTCATGTTCACTAATGAGGGTTAAATGAACAGCAGATAATCACATTAGACAATACATTCCCAAGTGGTTAATAACCAATAATTGGTCAATGATTTAATTGTTTTCTGGCTTCTCAAATGTGTCATGTCTTTTCCTCTCCAGGGCATCATGTTAGTGTATGACATAACCAATGAGAAGTCCTTTGAAAACATCAAGAACTGGATACGGAATATCGAAGAGGTAAACATGAAAGTCACGTCCGTCTGTTCAGTGTGCGCGTTAGAGTGCTTCTTATTTTGACAATGTTTCTCTAAAAAGAGTGTATACATCTGGAAGTGTATTTAGAAGAATGGTCACCTGTTGTAAGGTATTCGGCAAAGTGAATATATTGTAAGCCTCTAATTAGACTATATTTTTTATATTTCTTATGCTTTGGATGATAATTACTATTGTATATTGTTCTTTTTGATTATATTATATATATTTGTATATAACAGTATGATATTGTATATGTAGCATGTTGTGTGAGACTCACTGTCAAGGAAATTTTTCGAATAAATGTAAAAAATTTGAGTATTAATCTAATGCATTCTATAATTTATTACATTTCTCTTAGTTCACTATGCACATTTATGTTTCCCAGCATGCTTCAGCCGATGTGGAGAGGATGGTCCTTGGGAACAAATGCGACGTCAACGACAAGCGACAGGTGTCCAAAGACCGAGGGGAGAAGGTGGGCGAAAACACACGACTGTACCTAGAACTAGATTTAATAAGAATAATTAACACTTTATGATCTATTATACTGACTGTGATCGTTCTTCTTCTCTCCTGCTGTCAGCTGGCGCTCGAGTACGGTATCAAGTTCATGGAGACGAGCGCAAAGGCAAACATCAACGTGGAGAATGTGAGCTCAAGCTTTTTCTGCGGTTATTCATTCACAGCTGGGAGTATCTTAACTAAGAGATGAGTTATGATACTTTGGTCCTCGTTGTCTGTGTGTTCAAAAAGACTCTTGTCACAGACTTTGAGAAATTGACTGCACATAATCGTCAGGTATGAAGAGTGATGAAGACAGTAATGTATATTGGTTTTCTTTGTGATAAATGGCGATACAATATATTTATATTTCTGTATTTTTTATGTAGTGGGCTTTGATTTGATTAGATTTATTTCGAATATATAATACAAAAATATTTACATGAGAATTATTATACAATACAAAATGAATTGTTGGTTTCGGGAAGCTGCAGTCGGCACACACATTTAGAACCAGGCAAATGCTCGTAATGTATGCAAAAGGCTCGAAACCGGCCAAAAAACCAGTGTTAATCTTAGAGATGGGTACCGAGCCCCGGTATTAAACGGGCCCCGGGGCTGAATTATTAAAGACCGTGGTACCGTTAAGCTCCGACGTTATCGGTCTTTTTATCGGCACTGGAGACATCTAAAAAATATATGTCATGTATTATTGCTACACAAACATTATATTGCAGTTTTAGTTTTGCCAACTCCGTTTCTAATACTCAAAAAGACTGCAAAATTATTTTTTTCCAATCCAGACGAGAGATCTCTCTCCCCCGTCTGTGTGCGAGGGGGCGGGGCAACACACACACACGCAGCTGCTACATGCAGCAATACACACACACACACACACACACACACACACACACACACACACACACACACACACACACACACACACACACACACACACACACACACACACTGCGGAGATGGCGGAGAGAACGCGCTCCGAGGTGTGGTTAAACTTTAGCCGTCTCTATGTGGACATTGCTCGTTGCCAAAAGTGCAATAAGAGTTTGGCATGTAAGGGCGGTAACACGAGCAATTTGTCTAAACATTTAGCAAAAGTGCTCCACCTCCAGACGGAGGAATGCACCGGGTTCCACTGTCTTTCTAGCAGCTCTGTAGCTCCTTCCACGAGTAACGTTTCCACGTCAGGTGTTATGTATGCTAGCAGCAACACACAGAGTTAACCACATTATACAAACATGGGTTAATGATTAGATTATTTGATGTGAAATATTATTTATTTCATTTAAATAAAAAGCAATGTTAGTTTTGTTCACAATTTGTTTAATTAGTTTTCCTTATTTTTTTCTCCAAAAGACCCGATAAGAGTACCGTTAAACACAACGTAATATACTACCACTTCATTTCTTCTACTCTGTTGAGTAGAAGAAATGAAGTGGTAGTATATTACGTTGTGTTTAACGGTACTCTTATCGGGTCTTTTGGAGAAAAAAATAAGGAAAACTAATTAAACAAATTGNGAAATCAAGCAGGGAGTTTCATATAAATACTTGGGTGTAATGATTGACCATCTGCTGTCATGGAAGGATCACATTGAATATCTGTGCAAAAGGACAAAACAAATAATTTATTTTCAACGCCGTCTTAGGTCTTTTGGGGCGAGCAGAGAAATTCTTCTGTTGTTCTTTACATCTGTGATCCTGTCTATTCTGCAGTACTGCAATACTACCTGGTACGAATGTTTGTCAGCAGCTTTAAAATCAAAACTGCTCCACCTGTTAAAAATCTGCTCAAAGATTGTTGGTCAACCCTGTCAGAGACTCTATGACTCAGCCTATCATAACAACCTAGTGAGGCTGTCCAACAACATCATCTCTGACCCAAACCATGTTCTGAACACTGAATATGAACTGCTACCATCTAATCGGAGATACAGGGTCCCACGATTCAATAAAGTCAGACTGAAGCACTCCTTTGTGCATCAGTCAATCCTCACAGTAAACACAGAGCTAAATCCCAGATCAAATGCACGCTGAATGTTCTTTGAGCAGCTTTTCTCTCACTGATTGTGCTGTTATGTTAAATGTTTGTTGTTTGTGTTTCATGTATTGTGTCTGGATACTTTGTCTGTTGATGTTGGACAAGGAGCTGCTGTGACGCAAGTCAAATTTCAGACTTGATCTGACAAATAAAGTAATATCGTATCCTATCGTAAAAGCGGACAGAAACTAAACCAAAATACATCAGGGTTCAGGGTTATTATTCACTGTCCATCACCATCCAACAAAGGATTTCCTTGCTTTTTTGCATTTTCCTCCTCCTTCCTACCTTTACTGTTTGAAAGGCCCATGAGATCGTCCTTCTTTCTTTATATTTCGGAAACAGTCAACAGGACTAACAATAAAACCTGTTGTACATAGTACGTGTTGCTGGAGTTTCAACCAATCAATACATAGGACAAATGGCTGAAGATCTTTGACCATGACTTTCTCTCTTTCTTTTTTGGAAGCGTATGAAAACCCTTGCGTTTCACTGCAACTGGATACCACAACGTTTTAGTATTTAAGTATCCAAGGTACAGCAGTAGAGGAAGAATGGGGTGGAAGTGGTAGCAAAGTGGATGAAAGGGGTGAACAATGCATTCTAACGAGGGCTCCTGTTTGGCTAAAGTTTGCACATTCAATTTTTTACCATGCGTCTTTGAGTGGTTAAGACTATGGAGTTATAGACAAAAACTCCCCCCAGCAACAGCAGAACACCCGCTCAGTGCCTCATTCATATACAAAAGAAAGTGCTGCATTTAGTTGCTGTGAGCTGGCTACAATGCCTTGAGGCTGTCTCGGTTTATAAAACCAGGAAACACCAATCCTCTTCCTTGTTCCAGTAACAACACCTTGTCATCCAGAATGAACTAATCTGAATAATCATCATAAGCTGAGCTACCGTGAAACCCTGAGCCAAAAACAACTGTGCGGTTATTCCAAGCTAACGATTACAAAAGAAGCATGAGGAGAGAGACCAGAGGAAAAACGGCTGTGATGAAATGGGGTGAAGGAAGACGTGATCAAAGAAGAAAGGAAGTGAAGGCGGTCAGATGTGGAAGGAAAGATACATTCTCCCTGGGTGGTGTTGCTCCACAGATTAGCAATATGTTGCTGACATTCTGCAGATCTTCCTCTCCTCTCTACCCTGCCATGGAAATGCAAAGGAGGGTGTTTTCTTCAGTCCTTATCAGCACAGCGAGGCCCTAGGAAAAGGTTGAGGTGCTAGCGTAACTGTATTTAAAAATAGCACATTCAACAGGTCATGCACCCGCCTGCTTAATGATTTACCACATTTAACAGTACAATAGCAAATAGACCATGATATCTGGTTCTATTTTATGGACTCTGAAAGGAATGTGAACCAGTTGTATTTATCTATAAATGACTTTTAAAAGAGGAATTCTGTTTTAAAGATGTGTTTGGCCTTTTTATAGAGTGTTTCATAAAACTTGAGACGGAGAAGAGTACAGGCCTAATTGATTAATTAATCAGCGAGAACCAAACTTCAAACACTTTATTGCCAAACACACATATAACCCTCTACTGCATGTCTTTGTTGTATGAGGGACTTTCAATATGGTTGAATGAATAGTCATTATACTGTCATGTCATTGGCCTATTTTGTCCCTAACAAGATCTGCAAAAGTGACATTTGAACGGAGCATCTACAACTATTATCCTGTCATCTATTTGTTCAGCGAGACGTTTTAAATTCAGTAATGAAGTGAGGATGGAAAGTCTGTTGAGAGCTAGACCCGACACTGACACCTAGTGTTAGAGCAAGAAACCCAGAGATCAGCTCGCTGGCTGCTTATATCAAGTTTATTGATGGTGTTGTGTTTTAGAAACACAAGACAGTGCTTGTCAGTGATACTCCAGAATACAAGGAGATTCATATTAGGTATGAAAAACACAAACAGGGAGTTAGCAGTTCACTGTATGTTTGTGTTTCCCACGCTGAATTGTCAAAACAAACAGAAGCGAGGCTCGAACCAAAATATGAATTAGGGGAGAGGTGAGTGATGCTGATACAATTGAACGTGACACTGTTCCCAAAACCACACATGCCATCATACGGCTTACACACACACAAATATGCACACACACACACACCCACACACACACACACGTACACATACAGTGAGCCTCTCAAAGCCATGGAGCAGAGAGTGATAATTATGCGTGTAAATTCCAGGACCCCTCTCAGCAGCTCTGCTGGTTGGTGTTGAGAGCTGCGTTCTACTGGCCCTGCTGGTAATGGTAACCCACATAAAGCCAGCTGTCACTGCTTCCAGCCCCCTATACACACTTTCACTGCAGCGCTGAAGTGTTGGCATAATCCCATTACAGACACGTGAAGATAAATGTGTGCATTTAGGTTGGTGTGTGGGCTTGAGCTGAAAAAGACATTGCAGATGAGCCCAAGGACACACACACTGGTGAGGAAGCATGCAAGAATGAGATTGATGTAGTTGCACGTTTTTCAGTGTTGACTTTCTTTTGCTTTTTAATAGAAGTTTTAATTAAAGTAAATGGAATGTAATATGCATGTAGAGGGGGACATTTCTTAATCACCTTTTTCCATAAGACAACTCAACGACCTCTCAAAAAGATAGTTTTAGTTGTGTCTTTTATTTGCACACATAACAAGTAAAACACAACTTTAACAATGAAGAAAATGAAAACAGAAGCATAACATTTTGTACAAGTTTATAAAAAACATACATCTTTTACATGGTTTTCATCAGTGGATTGAGTTTGCTCAGAAGTCACTTGTCTAATGAGACGTAGCAAAACACGTTTTTTTTTGAAGGAATATATTATACTCAAAAAGACATCAATAATCTTATGAAGATGAACTTTTAACATCCTCTGGAAGATTTGGTTTTCAGAACTATTTCTCTGAGCCGCCATCTTTGGTTATGATATGTTGAAAATGTAAATGGAGAAAAACAGATAACTTTGTCATGGTGGTTGCATCAGTACAAAAGCACTGCAACACACCAATAAGTGTTTGATGTGGGGTCCTTCTTTTAAAAGTTCTTATAAGTTTGCACATAGTTCAATGACAGATTTGATGGATTGGACGTTTTTCTCCTTCTATCAGTGAATTATATCTATATAGTTGCTTCTATGATTATTTTATTCAGAAACCATGTTAACAGTTGTAAAACTTGTCAG